GCGGAGATAATGGTTGATACTGATGCCCCAATAAAGCCCTCCCAAGTTTTCTTGGGGGACAACTTGATCAAAGGAGTTCTTCCAAAGAAGAATCCAAAAATATAAGCAGTTATATCATTGATGACAATGAGTGATGCTGGAAGAAGGAACCTGCATTATAATAAACCTTTGTTTGAAGTTCTATATCCATGTCCAATTTTGTTGATCTTGTCAAAATGGCCAAAACATGTGGTATAATGTGGCAGTTCCAAAAACATAAAAGAAGCCCTCTATCTTTCGACTAGACATATGCACGCTGAGGAAAGAAATTAAAACCTGAAGTTGGTCCAAATGATTACTTCCCAAAGAGAACAAAAACAATTAGAAGAAGCGGAGGGCAGGGTAGTCTTCAAAGAATAGTTTCAGCAGTAAAATAACATAAAACCGGCAAGTGAAAGACTACTGAAACAGAAAATCCATTCAAAATGGAAGAAATAGATTTAAGCGGTCTTACCAGAAAATTCCCTCGAAAATATTGGCTACAGTGAAAGAGGACTGAGTAAATACTACAATCAGAATCATATGAGTCCAAGCGTACTGGCCAAATTGATACTTGTACCTCTTCTTCTTCAATGTCAAAATGAACCACATAAAACCTGATTTCAAATGAGAGGGAAAACAGTAAAACTCAACCAGCGGAAAAGGTAGTAATCCAGCAGTCAGTATCACAAAGTCATTCATATTATGAAAAAATAAGGAACAGTATACAGAACAATTTGTGATTTGATATGCCTTGGGTGTTGTTAAATGGAAAAGTGATTGTCGACATTGCAACATTGAGTGAGTACTATAAAATAGCCCGTACAAACCTGTGATATACAAGAAATAACACGTGACCATGTGATACTTGATAAATCTGCTAACAAGCTTGTATAAAAATTTGTCTGATGTAACCGTGTTGACTAGCCTCTGGCTCAGGATGCGTCCGTATACAAACAGCATTGCTGTAAAGAAAAAGTGCCTGGAAAGAATAATATAATAAGCAAAAACAGAAAAGAGAACCTGTAAACACTAAGATACTGCATCAATCTTGTAATATAAATACCCAAGCTTCTCAAACTACATTCTGCAGATATATATCACTAGTGAAGGGACTCAACAGAGGCAACCGTGAGCTCAAGTGATGCAAAGGCAACAGTAGATTTGCTTATCTAGTTTCCATAGCCTGACAGCTTGGAGGTTTCAGTCTGTGTATCACAGGCCAACTAAAATAGTCCCAAGTCCACATATGAACCAGATTAGCTAAACCAATATCAAGTAATTTCGAGAATTCCCTCTTTGTTCAAAATAT